ATTATTTCATTCCAAATCATATTAAACTAATATGATAGTTATACACTGTCTGTGAGCAGAAAACTATGAAGAAAACTCATTACCATTACTATTATTAATATTGTCAAATTTATAATAATTTCATTAAACATCAATGAAACTAGTCGAACACGGAAATTATCACATTCGTCAACATCCATCCTATTTCTATTTCCAATTATTTCAACATACATATTATAACTTTTCGTGCATGCAAAGAATGCCTCCTCCGACTGTTTTTTACCCATTCAGCGATTGAAAGCTCTCTCAATTGAAACGTTGTGTGAATCTTTCCCATATGCGGAGTAATTCTTCGTTGAAGCATGTCCCACACATGCTCGATGGGATTCACGTCCGGTGATTGTGCTGGCCATGGCAATACATCAACTCCTTCGTTGGTGAGCCAGTCAGTCACTAGACGCGCGACATGTGGACGAGCATTATCGTGTATTAGGTGAAAGTTTTCACCAACAGCACCAGCACCGGACGATAGGTAGAAGAATGGTGTCGAGGTACTGTCGAGTACATTGTTCCAACATTACAACAGTAATACATATACAATAATAATAATAATGATACCCTGATAATACTAATATAATTGATAATAATAAAATAAAAATTCTAACATCCAACTTAAATAACTGCTCTAAAGACACAACTAAACAGTAATAATAATCCAAGTAGCCTATCTACTCCTCTTTTTGTTATCCCGTCGCCCAGCCTGCCTTGTCGAATTGACCTGACGAAGCACTCATCCTTTTCTTTTTTTTCCCAATTCCTGGCTCCGCTGTACGCCGCAGCTATCTTCTTTCATTCATTACTGACAACATTCTCCGCCCATTCATTCACAAATCTTATTCAGTCGTCCCTCTCTCCATTCCCTTCCCTAAGTGTAATCTCATCTTTTTCCCTTTCCATTCTTCCTTTCCATTCGCGCCATCCAATCCTGTCCCCGTCCATACATCTCTCAATCACGTGATCTGCCGTTTCCGGTTCTCCGTATCCACAGGGGCACGGCACTTCCGGTCCCAGGTTGAACCTAGCTAGGTATCCTGGAAAGTTTCCGTGTCCTGTCAACAACTGCAAGGCCTTCCTCGACAGATCCAGCGGTTCATGCCTAACTGTTTTACAAAACTTGTAGAACAGTCTCCCAGTCGTTCCGCTCTCCCATTCCCTTTGCCAGTCGCCCTTGATGCGTTCCTTTATTCTCTTTCGTTGTTCATTCTTACTGCCTATCCTTCTCACCTCTCATGTCACACTCTCTCTTTCCAACCTCTTTGTGGCTTCCTCGTGCGCTTTTCGATTGCCTATGTTGTTGGCTGAGTGTCCTTTTCTCCATATAATGCCTGTCCGTTCTCTCCTTCCACTCCTCTCCTCAATCTTTCTCTGAATCATCACTACCCTCTTATTCTTCGTTCTCCCCCTTTTCATCCCTTCCACAGCCACTGCGGAGTCACTCGATCGCAATCATCTCCGCCTCATTCGCACTGTTCGTTGACTCTTTCGTTTCCTGTTACCCATTCACCCTCCTCTCTCTCCCATGCCCATCCTATTCCTACTTTCCCTTCTTCTAACCTTATCCCGGCGTCCACATGCACCTCAGTCATTTTTCCTTCCCCCGCTTTCTCCAACAATGTCCCTTGCATCCATCGGAATACCCTATCGCCTCCTTTCACTCTGTCTTCAATCTTTCTTATCCCATTCAAGCTCCATTCCGAATATCTTGCCTTCGCTTCCAGGTGTAGTGGTGCGATCCCTGACATCACGCAGAGCGCATCACGTCCCGCTTGATGCTAACAGGAAGGGCCTCTGCGCTGCGCTCAACTGCCTTTTTACTCTGCTGTCATGCACTCTGTATCCCCATACTTGGACCCCGTACAGCATCACCGGTTTTAACGTTTGTTTGAAGGTGATTGACAATGTTTCGTGATGAATTTTTTTTTTAATTATTCTTTTTTACTTGTTTCAGGGATTTCAAATCATTTTATATAATAGACAATGGAAGTCCGAACTAGTGAAATTCATCACCGGTTTTGTTACCCTTTCGTAAATGATTCTCACGCATTCTCCCCTTAGCCCGACATTCTTTCCGGTCCACCTCCTTAACTTACCCGCCAATTCACTCATCTTCTTTCTCACCTCCTTGTGGTGGTTAATGAATAACAATCCAGTGTCCACCACAACTCCGAGGTATCTTATCTCTAGCTCTCTCTCATTTGTCCTGATGACCGGAAGTTTTTCATCCCTTCTCGCTGGTATATACATGCATTCTGTCTTTCTTTCATTGTACCCCAACCACATCTCTGTCTCCCATGTTTTCCATTCATTCCATACCAGCTTCCACCTTTCCTCTATGCTTCTGACGGAGTTGCCTTCGACGATGACCAGCTGATCATCCGCGTAGGCTTGTACATATACTCTGTAGGCTCCAATGCCTTCTCTATCTTTCATATTCTTCATTCTTTCGAACCATGCCTCCATCAGAATCAACCATAGGCTCGGTCCCAGACTGGAACCCTGTGGGCAGCCTCTGTTCACCGTTTCAGTGACTCTTCCACAGTGACTCTTCTCATTCCCCCTTCAATTGCTGTCGCCCACGCGGTTTTAAAGGCGCCACGACCAGACTGTGTATCCTTGCTCTCTTATTCTCTTTTATTTTTTCTACAATTTTCTCTACTGCCATGACTGTATCCATTCCCTCTCTGAAGCCATATTGCTTATGAGAGAACTTCAACCCCCTCTCACACCAGATTTGTATCCTACCGCTAAGAAGCCTATCCAACATCCGTCCCATGCCTGTCAGTAAGCTGATAAGCCTAGGCTTTCCTATGTATCCTGCTGGTTTTTTCCTTCCCTTCGGTGAAGGTTCCGTCCTCTCTTTCGGCATTCGATGGCATCTCCCTGGCCCTATCATTATTGAGAAATCGATAGGCTCGGTCCCAGGGATTGTCATCCTGGATCCGTTCCACTCTCTCTCTCAACCATGTGATTCTTGCGTTCTCTATCATTCTTTTATACCTATTCCTCTCTCTTCTGAAAAAGTTCATTCGTCTCATCCTTTCTCCTTCATCCCTAGTACTCTGTGCTTCTCTTTTACTGCTCCTTACATTTCTTCGTGTGCTTTCTAGTTCCACGTTCCAACATTCCTTCTCTGTGTCCACCACCCTTTCATTCTTAGGTATATGTCTCATACATGCCTCTTTCAGTATCCCTTGAAGCCTTTCCGCTTCCCTATCAATCTCTTCTTTTGTATCTAACCTTCCTGGGCGATAGTTGGCGAGCATTTGCTCTAGCCCAGTTGGCCCTTCTTACGTTCGTTACAGTCACTCTTCTCATCTTCGGCAACTCCATCACGGTGAACTCAATCATTCTGTGATCACTTAGTGTCTCATCCGTACTGACCTTCCAATCATCCACCTGCACGTTTCCACTAACGGTCAGGTCGACCAAACTCTCGCCTCTATTGCTGTGGCGGGACTGCCACATACATTCTCGATTGTGTAACCCCTTTCATTTACCCAATCCAACAGATCCTCTCCTCTGTCGTCCGTTATGTTTCCACTCCATGCAGTATTCTTTGCGTTCACGTCCCCAACTAGTATCTTTCGTCCTTCCCATTCATCGAAGATCATCCAAATTCCCTCCATTCTGATATTTCTTCTTCCACCTGGCTCATCATACACGTTCATGATTCTCATACTTTTTCTCTCATTCCCTACAACTATTCCTATCCCATTCATGCTTCTTGCATTCATGAGGGCCAAGCTTTCAACATTGTTACGAACCCATGTCCTTATCTTTGTCCCCTCTCCTCCATCGTGTCTGACCCATCCCTCCCACTTTGGTTCTCTTATCCATGTCTCCTGCACACATACCACTGCGGCGCCCCGCTCTTCGGCGGTCTTCCGCAGTAGTGCTGTTGCTTCACGTCCTTTACCAACGTTAATCTGTATTACTAAGAACATAGTTCGTCTTCCTTCTTTGTAGCTCCACGCTACTCATATACACCGGGCACTTCGGGTCTATTGCCGAGTGCCTTCTCTCACTCGCATTCACTCCGGCTTTTTTGCAGTTGATGCATCCGAGCCCCCGATCACCCCTACATTCTCGCCCCTCATGCTGCCTTCCGCATTTGTGGCACGCCGGTTTCTGCCTTCACGCCTTCGCAGTTTGTCCAAATCGACAACATTGGTAGCACACTGCGACGCTGTTATGTTCTTCCACATAAATGTTCATTAGGTCAATACTGACTACCTCCATACACATCAGTCTTCGAAAGAGCCTCGGATTCACCTCTACAATCACGTTCTCTTTCCATTTATTCGTTCTACATTCTCTCCTCTTTTTAATCTTTACCTGTGTGAGCCCTTCACCCAGTACGGGGTTCTGTGCCAACAGGAGGTGGATCAGTTCCAAATCCCCATATCCTTTCTCTACACCTGTAAGCATCACATGTGGATTTGGCCTTTGATCCTCCTCAACACTCGCCCTACTATCTTCCTGGAGCACGGACCTAATCATTTTACTCTCCTCTGTCCTGCCTTTAACTACCACTGCCCCACTCCGTTTTCTGATCACTGCCTCAACGAAATTCATACATCCCCCTTGTATAAGCTGCTCCCTAACTATCCTCGCAGCTGGTGTTGCATCCTCATGGTCTTTCTTAACGATGACTATTTCCTCCCTTGCTGGAGGTGGTGTTTTCCAGCCTTCCCTTGTTTGCTGCTGCCTAGGTCTTCCAATCTGTTGGATAAGTCCTTCTGCCCCTGTTACCCCTACGTCTGGTCTTGCGCCGATTCTAGACCTCCTGGAATCCCTGCTCCATTTCGGCATCAGTCTCCATTTCAGTCGTGGTCATCCCACCTGACCCTTCCACTGATGTTACCGTTTCACGCTCTGCCGAGGTTTGTTCACTTCTATTCTGCTCTGCTACTGTATTCTGCCGGGGTTAGATAGATCCTTTTTTCAAGTGCCTTTCTATCTCCTCCACTATTCTTTTCATACCTTTCCATTCGCTTCCTATCCCATTAAAGGTCGGGAAACACATAACCGCACCGAGCCCGCGCCGCGTCGTCTCCGAGCAGAGTAAGCGTCATGGACGACTGTTGGTGACGGTGATGGAAAAACACACTTGTTCGCTACCGCTCCGAGCGACAGCCGTCAGTACTTTCTCAGTACCCTTCCAGTGTGTTTCTCTGTCTCGACAGTCTCGATCATGTTTTCAAAATTTCGGAAAAGTGAGTTAGCAATGAATGCCTTGGCTCTAGAGGAAGAAGATGAAGCGGAAACGTTGAGGAGGCGAAGAAAGAGGACTTGGGTGGACAGTGCATGGAAATCAAGACCCCTTAAGGGTGAATTTAATACCAAGTTTCCCCATCTGATGGATGATGAAATCAAGTTCTATGGATATTTTTGAATGACACAAAATNCAAATCAATTGAACCTATTTATACATAAATTATTGCCGACTTTGCAGATATCAGCAAAATAATTGATGTCGTCTTCGGGTCATCGAACAATATCCTGCTGATGTAAGAGGTTATCGAACTGTAACTAATTGTAGACGTTATTCTAAACGAGGTCATGCCTGTGCCGGACGAAGCAAAATGAAACAATGTGGCCCATGAGTTTTATGAAAAGTGGCAGTTTCCAAATTGCATTGGCGCCTTAGATGGAAAGCATGTTACAATTCAAGCTCCTAAGTTATCGGGAAGCCTGTACTGGAATTACAAACATGCATACTCTATTGTATTTCTTGCCCTAGTTGACTCATGCTACAACTTCATTGTAGTAGACGTGGGAGCGTACGGAAAAAACTCGGATGGAGGTATTTTTTTGAACTCGAATTTCGGAAGAGCTCTGGAGCATGGCCAGCTCAATGTTCCAGGTAGTAGACCACAACCTGGAACCAATGTTGAACTGCCAATGGTTATTGTAGCTGATGAGGGCTTTCCTCTGAAAAGTTATATGATACTTCCGGAATTTCGGTACAGAAGTTTCGCATATTCTCTCGACGATTACAAGGAGAGCATAAAAATATAACAACTTTAATACTAGCTGCTTGCACCCTCTAGAATTTCATTAGACAAAATGACGGAAGTAACGTGGCAGCATTCATTGAATACAATGACAATATTGAAAGCAACAGAATTGCAATCACGGCCTGCAGTCTTCAAGACCTACTCCGTCTACGAGGAGGGTCAACGGGAGAAGCGTTTGATGTGCGTGATAAATTCAAGGATTTCTTCAATTCTCGTTTTGGAAGTGTAGAGTGGCAAGAAAGTGCTGCATTGAGAATATAATAAAGTTAATATTTGAACATTAACAATTGAAATTGTGTTATTTATATTGACACTTACTCCAACTATTTACTATGATAACAAAATAAACATGTACTTTTAGTGTGTTGGAAATTAATTTCCACACCCGGTCCTTGTATTCGGCATTCCGATACTTTGCATCAGCCATATCGTACAGAACAGAAAATTTCCGCACTTCTTCAATAAGTTTTTCGCCCTCCGTGTTGCACGAGGCCGCACCGTCACCTTCAAAAAGTAAACTGAACTAGTCTGTGACGGCTCGGGCCCGTCTCGGTACCCAAGCACGAGGACGGTGCTGGCGCGGTGCGGTGGTATGTGTCCCTTCTCATTTAAATGCCTTGGTTTTCTTTCTCGTCGTAGCACGTCCAACACTCGGCCGTGTGTTGGTGCGGGCTCGGTGCGGTTATGTGTGTTCCGACCTTTACTCATATTTGCTGTACGTTTTGTGATATGAGGTATGTTTAGATAATTGTTTCTATCTTGTAATTTTTTGAATACAGAATAAGAACCATCACCTATAACTACGTTATCTTCGTCAATGTCTCGAAAAGTTTCGGGATATTTATCAATAATTTTTTTTTCAATTTTTCATTCTTCATTTCGGTACCAAAGTATTGCAAATTTTTCAAGTGAAATCCATCGATAATTTCAAAATCGACTCTTGGTAAGTTGTCGGAGTCAGCTTTAACATTCAGCTCAACATTTATTTTGAAATTATATCAACAAAACACGAAGTATGTGTGGAAACCATTGACATTAGAAAGAGCACATTGTCGCATACACTACGCTGGCTGACTGGATGACGATATGGATAATATACCAGTAACGTTGAATTTCTTATTTTTGGTGGATGTCATGAATGCATAATTGATTCATTTTATTAGGGTTTATGAGCATTCGAAAACAATTTGAAAATACAGCTCGTTATATTCTATTTAGAATCATATTTAGATATAACTTGTACTATATCAGTTATCAAGGCAAATATTATTGTCCTTTTTTATGCTTAATTCGTGGATTCGAGCGATCAATATTATTGTATATCTCTTTGTTTGCTGGCTTTATTCTTAAAAAATGAATGGATATAATTACAGAAAACTTTAATTGAACGTTCATTTTCTCAGGAAAATGGAACACCCATATCACAATTTATTGGTTTATTCGGCATTGAAAATTTATATCATATCGGATCCATTCTGCTTGTTTTTGCAACATTGAGTTTCAACTTTTTCTTAGCTGACAGCTCGCGAAGGAACAATTCGTTTTTTCATCGAGTTCAGTTTGTGTGTGTTTTAAAATTGTTTTAGCACATTGGTTTATACGTGAGTTATTTCATATAATTAGTTTAGGTTGTCCCCAAAGGATAAAATGATGAGAAAAAAAATGAGTGAAAGCATTAGAAATAAATAACTACAATCCTTCCACTCGTCCAAAACTTTATAGAAATCATTTAAAAAGTTACTATAAATGACAGGGGAACGAAAATATATGGAACTGGATAACACAGTTTTTTATTTTAACTTCAGGTATTCTTCACAGAAAGTATTGGGTGGTATGAATAAAAATTAGTATTCAGTTTATTCTCCAAATTTTTGAATACTCTACGCGGTATGAATAAAAAACCGAAACACATACTCGGCTTGAGTAGGAACTCTTATATACAGTTTGTTGTGAGAATATTCCCATTATTGGTATGAATAAAAATATCTTTATGCTCGTTAGGATGAGAATATACTCCATAAATTTGAAGTCTAATAGTTACCAGACTTCAGTTTGATCGTGGCAAAGATATGGCTGAGTGCGTGTTTAATTTGCGTTCAAAATAATATTATAAACCGAGAAGAAGTACATGTGATCGTGACTTTAAAGTATTATACCGATTCAATAAAGAAAATGTTAAATGGCTTTCAAATCACTTTTTGGGTGAAGAATCGGAAGAAACAAGTGGTGGAGCTATATGCAACTTTGAATAAATGAATATATTTTTAAGATATATAGGTTATCCGGGGTTTCAAACAGGAGTGGGAGAAGATGTTGGTGGTCATCGAAGTACTGTGTCTAAGGTTGTGACGCAAGTTGCTGACCAGATGATAGAAAAATGCCCATAACATTTCCTTGCACTCCGGCGAATATAATAGCAGCTGAAGAAATATGGCAAAGGATATCACAGTATCAACGTTCAAGCAAATTGCAATGCAGATGAGTGGTTCACAAGCGTAGACGCATCATGGCCAGGATCTGTCCAAAAATTTGTCTCAAAAATTTGTAACGTTGCTAAAAATGAGTTAAAGAGGTCAAATGCATTTATTTTAGGAGATGAAGGTTATGGCGTAGCACCGTGGTTAATGGTGCCTTTTAGAAATCCAAATACTCCGGTACAGCTTGCTTATAACCAATTATTTACAAAGGAGCGTGTAATTGAACGACGTTTTAGGCAACTAAAACAACGATTTCCGATGCTTCAATATAATGTTCGAGTGTCGATTGAAAATGTTCCAAAACTTGTTATATGTTGTTTCATGTTACACAATATAGCTAAATTTTTAAATAATGAATTCGATCCAATGGAGCCCCCAATACAAGATATTTGGGATCCGCTTCCCGTACAAGATATAGATGACATTAGACAAAGTGGGCAACGAAGG